CACAACACAACTCACACAGAGTCGTTGAGGACACTTAGTCTTCAAACTTATCTTGTAATTATGAGTATAACACCACGGAGTAGCTCTAGCTTACGCTAAGATACTAGCTCCATATATACACAAAGGAAGACAATAACACAATCTCATCACATTCTCCCCACCGATGACTCGAATATGAGAATCAAATCTCAAAAACTCTAGTCACAGCAATGACTGCATCATAAGGATCCAACGTTATATTTTTAGAAGCTTGGATAAACCCACGTAAACCACCAAAACTCTTAAAATCATCACGAGTCATACCAAACTCACGACGAATATAAGATTGGACATCAACAATATACATAGGAGCAGATCTCGATAATAGAACGGCATGAATAAAACGTTCAATCTCAGTTATCCTTGATGAAGATTGTTCCTCACTAGTAATCTCACCATCAATAGGAATATCTCTAGAATTACTAGCAATACGAGAACCTTCATCTTCAACAAAATCCACTCTAAACTGAATATCATCAACGGGCAACACATGGTCTATATTAACTGGACCAATAAGTCTCGCCCTAGAATCAGCTTCATCCTTTAGATAAAGAGAACCATGGGAAGTAACCTCTTGAACTTGAAGTGGTTTGGACCATCGATACCCAAGACGTGTATTAGTAAAGCGACGAACCAAAACTCTATCACCAACCTTGAATGAAGGAGCATCCTTTCTTCCATCATCATAATGAGCCTTTTGCTTCAATCTCTCATCTAGCGTGACATCACGCATGAGCGCAAATCCTTCACGCATAATCTTCTTCAACTTCCCAGCATAGGATTCATAGTTAACAGACTCAAATTCTTGTGGTTGAAGAGGTTGATCCACGATAGCCGGTTCAAATGGTAAGCGTGGTCGTCTCCCATGGATGAGTTCATACGGGCACAAAGATATATTAGGCAAAGTCCTAACGTTATGTGAGAAAGTAACGCTACTCAAAGCCAATTCCCAATCTTCTTCAGCACATAAACCTTCTCTAATAAGTATAACCAAATCATGTAATAAACCTTGATGACTCCTCTCATTGGCTCCATTCCCTTGTGGTCTATAGCTTGTAGAAAATGTAACCGATAACTTGAATAATTCATAAAAAGTTTTACTAATACCAGCTGTAAACTCACCTCCACGATCACTGTGTAACCTATATGGGACACCGTGAACCGCAATAAGACTCTTCCATAAAGCCAAAACCACAAGTTTGCTCTCTTTCAAAGGGAGAGGGCATGTTATCATATAATGGGAGAAATTACATAATATCACAAGTATGTGCCTATTACCAAGGCGTGATACTGGCAAATCTGTAATAAGATCAATAGACGTGAACTGCCAAGGATATTGCAGAACATTCAATCTCATATATCCATATGGGGCGGCCACTGCCTTCCGCCGCCAGCACGGAAGACATGAAGATACATACTTTTTAACCGATGTTGATAGACCCCACCAAAAATACTTAGTTTTAATAGCTTCATAAGTATTCCTTCGACCTGGATGGCCAGCAAGTTGACTGCCATGGAAAGCA